GGGAAAACCCAGCGGAGGTGGTGACAGCATCTTGTGTCATCACTTAGACTCAGGCTCTGAGAAGCTTCCAGAGAATGTAGCCCTGTGGTTGAGGGTGGGAAGGGCGACTTACACCCCCTGGTGAGTAAGCAGGAAGCTGCTTACTGGGCCCACGTTGGAGGAGAGATGCCCTTTAGAGAGCCCGTGGTATGTGGGGCAGAAGCAGAAAAGGCTTGCGTTTCGCCGCTGCCTCCTCCCTGGCTTCACCCCGCAGAGCGCCCAGCCATCCGCGAAGTACAGGGTGACATGCGGCCCGGCTGTCTGACGGGGCAGAGAGCCGGGAACTCACCCAGGGCGCCCGATCAGAGACCACTTCCTGGGGAATTTGGAGCGAAGCTGGAGGCGATGTTGGGAGCTCTGTGGGGGCCGAGCCCTGTCTCCTGTTTTTACCATTCGGTCCCCATGTGAAGCCCGGCCCGTCACAGGGGTCTTGAAAATAGTTCTCGAATGGATGTGTTGATAAAGGAACAAAGGACTCTGTGCTCGGAACGGGCTTCAGGGCTGGGAGAGCCGTTGCTGGGCTGCTGCCCCCTCTACCCGCAGTAGGTGGGCCAGGGGGCCGAGGGTCATGCTGTGACAGCATGGAGCCTCGGATGGAAGCAGGAGCCCGTTCCGGGACCCGCTGGGGGCCTGGGCCTGGGCTGGCAAGTGTCTTACTGTCCAGTGGGGAAGTGACGTGTGTTACAGGAGTAGAAACTCCTGGTTCAGAAGCAGCTCGAGATTCTTTTTCTTCTGGATTCTTCCATCAGCTTTCCGCTGTTCCTTTTCCTTCGTTTCTCCTTTCCTGAGTCTTCAGCTTCTCTCCCTTTTTCCTTTTTCCGTCTCTGAGCCTCTTGGAGAGAGCCCATCTGGTTCCTGGCAACAGCAGGTATCTGTAAAACACCTGCTAGTAATCATAATAGTAATACATGCCACTTATCAGGCACGTCCTGCTCACAAGCTCTTTTCGTTCACCCCACGACCCTCTTTTACAGATGGGGAAGCAAGCTCAGGGGGCCAGGTAAGCTGCCTGTGCTTTAAAGCAGGGGTCTATGCGCTGTGGGCTGGATATGCCCGTTTTTCTTGGCGCTTGGTCACGCCTGTTCATTCTGGGGGAGCCCGTGGTCGCTGTGCCCGGATGCAGAGCAGAAGCCGGGCTGCGCCCTCCTGGCCCAGGTGCCTGCTTTCCCAGACAGCTGCCACTGCAGTTCCTTCACCACCGCCCTCTCCCGTCCCTCCCTTTCTCTCCGGGAGGGGCCTCAGATGGTGACTCCTATCCACCTTTCATCTGCTTATTTCATCTTCCTCCCCTCCGGTCCTTAACCAAGCAGCCGCTAGAAGTAACACTCAGAGCGGCCTACGTTTGTCCTGCCCTCGCTCTGTGCTGTGCGATGCAGGGAGCCCCCCAGGATCCCCCCCCATATCTAGATGCAGAAACTGAGGTCCCGAGAGGCCCAGTCACCTGTTTGTGGTCACGAGGAAGCGGCACATTCTCTGAGCTCCCGATGTCTGAAAAATGGGTTTTGAGTGAAGCGCACTCTTTTGAAGTGTCATTTTGCAGCAGAGTTTCAGTAGGTGAATCGTGCATGTTTGTAGAGTCTGTGCGGCCTGTACACAGAGGGCACCTGCGTCACGTGTATCGAATGGTAAATGCTCACTCGCCATTTGCTTAGTGGTCAGTGAAAAACAGATCAGGTGAAGCAGCCAGTGAATTTCTTATAGGGCTCCAGCCTCTGAAATTATACTTTATGTGCTTAAAAAGTATCTTTTACACCAAAATATACACCGGTAACAGACCCAGCAGAGATGTGCTAGGTGGGATGTTCCCACCTCCCAACTTATCAGCGGTGGTATCACCCCAGGGGCAACGTTGCTAGGGCTTTCTGGGTCGTGTCCTTCCTTAACACCTTAAAGCAGTAGAAGCAAATTTGCTTCTTATCTCTAGATTTTTCATATTAAAATTTGTTTATTAACTTACTAGCGTGAAGGGTTAGACTTTCTCCTAAGCTTCTCCCCCTTTCATCCCTGACAAGTGAGGGGTTTGTGACTGGCCATATAGTTTGCTGCTGTATCCTAAGTAATACTTAGGTGCTCACTAAGTATTCGTTGAGAGAACAAATGCATTCTTCGATGCTGTCAACTTTGGCCAAGGTCTCCTGACTTTCCATTTAGGAAGAGAAGGGCAGGATCATATCGTCTTCCTTGAACCTTACACCCCTCCTTCTGGGAGCTACACTTGACTTCGTTAAGGTTGCTCCACTCCAGGATTAGAGATTAAGTCTAGAAGTTGGTAGCTGGCAAAGGGCACTGACCGTAGTGACTCTCTCCATTGTCGGGCTGGTCGGGATCCTCTCTGAACTCTGGGCCACTCCAAGGAGAACGCTCAAGCTCATGTCAGGGTCAGATGGGCTCTTTTTATCATCCTTGGTTAAAATTTGGCCCCGTTTACTGCGCTTCATATTTGGCCCTTTGCTTCTCTTCACATCCTTGCATTGTGTCTTTTTCATCAAAGGTGCTTTGCCTTTTTTCCATCCTCCCCATCATTTCATTTATTCAGTGGAGTTTTTTCGCCTTCGAGATAGTTCATTCTGGTCTCTTCCTCCTCTAATCAGAACTGGCTCCTCTTTAGCCATCACACTGGGACTTTCCTTTACTTTTCTCCTGGGGGGATTTACCTAATACCCTTATGTTTTGGTTTATTTTCCTGTTTTACTAGAGTAATTTCTCAAGAAGTTTCCCAGGAGATTAATTACTGAAGCAATTTCCAAAGAAATGTGTGTGGGGAATAAACTCCTTGACTCCTAGTGTATTTGAAGTGCCCTTGTTCTGTTCCCACACTTGAATGGTAGTCTAGTTGGGTGTAACGTTCTAGTTGGAGAATTACTGTCACTTAGAGCTTTGAAAGTGTCGCTTCTTTGTCTTCTGAGAAGTCTGATGCTATTGGGTTCTTGTTCTGTTACAGATGACCTGTTTTTTAGTTTTTTGTTTTGTCTTTAGAAGGACTTAAGATGGTTTTTATGACATTGTTTCTGGGGTCTTTTTTGGTTGTGTGTTTGTTCATAATGTTGGACATTTGGTGTCCTTCATTTTATTTTACTTATTATTTTTTAAAATATTTATTTATTTGGCTGTGCTGGGTCTTAGTTGCGGCATGCTGGATGTTCGTTGCTGTGTGAGGGATCTTTGTTGCCGCATGTGGGCTCTTTTAGCTGTGGCATGTGGGATCTAGTTCCCTGACGAGGGATTGAACTTGGCCCCCTGCGTTGGGAGCGTGGAGTCTTAAACACTGGGCCACCATGGAAGTCCCGGTGTCCTTCATTTTAGCTTCTATTTCTTTGACAATTTCTTTCCACCTATTTAATTTCTTTTTTCGCATTCTAGGATGCTTATTACATAACTTCTCTATGTTTAAGTCTTTTCATCTGTAAAATGGGAACAACTGCATCTGCCTCACAATGTTGTTGGGAGGATTAAATGAGTTAAATATATAAAGTGCTGAGAATACTGCCTGGCATACAGTAGGTGCTTTATGAATATTAGCTGCTGTTGACATTTGTTTAATCTGCTGAGTTGCACCTTCCACCCTTTAAAAAAAAATGTCTTTTTGCTCTACATTCTGGGAGATTCCATCGACGTTATTTTCTCGTCTTTCTGTTGAATTAAAAAATTGTAAGTACTATATTTGTACTAAGGTCTAAGAGCCCTCTCTTACTCTCTAATTTTCCTTTTTAAAAGTATTTTGTTTTCATTTGTTGAGCAAGTGTTGCATCTGAGGGCATTGGCTCTAGGTTTTTGTTTTTGTTTTTGTTTTCCTTTTCCCAAGTTCTCTTGTGGTCCCCAAAGTATTCCTGTTTCTTTGGCCTCTTTCCTCCAAGTGGGAACTCTTACCGAGTGCTCTGTTCAGGGCAAGATGGGTTCGCTTTACCAGCGGTTTCTGGTTAGGGACGTGGGTCCCCCCAGTTTCCTGAATGAGAAGGGCCTGATTCAGGGGGTGGGGTGGGGGAAGGTCGCAGGAGGGATACCCAGGGCTGTTGTTCCAGTCACAGCTGCTCTGTTTGGCTTTTTTTTTTTTTTTTTTTTAATAACTGCTTTACTGAGGTATGAGTCACACATGATAAAATTCACCCTTAATGTGTACGATCCTCGTGTCTATCGTGTTCATACAGTGGCTCAACCATCACCTCTCTCATTCCAGAACGTTTTCATCACCCCAAGAAAAACCCCTAGCCACCGGCTCCCCACCCCCGCCCTCCACCTCATCTGCGAATGCCCCAGCCCAGGCCTCCCGGGGCTCAGGGCCCCCTGCAGCGCCTGTGCCATGTCCCCGGCTGCAGCTTCCTCTTCCTGTTTCCTTGCCCGGCATGCTCTCACCCACTTTCTGCCTTCCAGAAAGTTCTTGACTGCTCACATCGCCTCCCTCCCCGTTACTCTCCCGGCATTATTTGGTTTCCTCCTGGCCTCACTTTGCTTGCCATGGGCCCTCAGGTGGGACGACAGGCAGGCCGGTGGTGTCTGCTTGGTCTCCCACGTCTGGAAGCCTGTACTCTGGCCCCTGTGCCCCGTCTCTGAACGGATAAGGTGGTTTTCAGCCTGGGAGTGCCCGTCCTCCGAGAGGCCTTTAGAGAGAGAAATGAGAAATGCAAAGCAGGGTCCCTTCCCTGAAGGGGTTTGTCGTCTGGTAGAGAGATGAAGATCAGAGGTGACATGAGTGGAAGTAAGTGACCTGGGGGTCAGAGGCCGAGGGAAGCCAGGGCTGTCCCTGCGGGAGGGGGCCCTGACTCGGGCCTTCATGGCTGAGGGGATTCAGACTGGGGGTGGGTGGGGGGAGATGGACATTGGGGTGGAGGGTGCAGGCAGGTCCCTGGTCCCTCCCTCCTCTGCTGGGGGATTGTGCAGCGAGAACAGGCCACCCTTCCTCTCTGCTTCCTCTTTCCTTCCTGGATGCAGGTTAATTCAGCAAGCAAGCAGGTGCCCGGCCCTGTGCGAGGCCAGGGCACATGAGGCAGACTGCAGGACGCTCACAGTGTGGGGGGCTTGGGCACTAGGCGGGCAGGGTTCATGCAGCTGGAGAAACCCTCCCTCAGTCTGTTCAAACGGGATCGAGAGACTCGGGGAGAGGTGGGCCATGACCTGGCCTCCCTGCGCAGATTTCTTCCTGTCCCTGGACAGGCCTCTCACTTCAGTAGATGACCTGACAGAGGTGTGACATGTGGCTTGCTCAGCAGTATTTGACAGATACGTAGTGAATGTTTCCAAAAGGCCTGGCTGTGGTGCTGGCCCTGGGGGTGTCACACTGCGTGAACCGGAGCTCGTGTAGGATTGAGGAAGGTGGAGACAGTAAGCAGAAGGAGTGCTGAGACCCAGTGATACAGGACACTCGGAGCCGGAGGAGGGAACCGCAGCCTGGAACTTGATGGGGGATGGGGGCTGCTGCTCAGTGAAGGGGTCCCGGAGGAAGTGGTCTGTGATCTGAGAGGGGCAGCGTGGCAGGGCTGGTGAGAGATGAACCTGGAGGGCATGGAGCGCCGTGCAGGCCCCCTGGAGCGGCTGGAAGTTGGTCCTGAGGGCAGTGAGGAGCCGTCAGGGGACACAGATCTGTGATTCAGAGGGGTCCTTCCCGCGGCCCCTGCAGAAGAGGCCTGGGAGCAAGCCTGAGGCAGGCTGGCTGGTGAGGGGCTGGAGCGGAGGCTTAGGGCGCCAGGCAGCGGGGTGCAGCCCAGAGATGTTTGGAGGTGGCCTTCACAGCGCTTGGTGGCGGGCGAGCCGTAGGGGCAGGAGGGGCTGAGGCGTCCTCGGGGGAGCGGTGGACAGCTGGGGCCCTGACCTGCACAACGCCGGGAGCCGCGGGCTTCAGAGGGAACGAGGAGGTGTCTTGGGGTGGGCTGCTTCGGGCTTGCCCAGCCAGCACTGCCAGGAGGCTCTCCGAGGAGCAGCAGAATAGGAGCTGGCTCAAATAGGGATTTGGGGCCAAGGTCGACCCCACAGTGTCCTCGGGCTGCCTGGGCCACCGCCCGTTGACCCAGCCTGCAGGCAGGGGCACTCCTTACTTCCAGGTGGGCTGACCGTCAGACTGAAGGTGACTGAGCTTACTCCTGGGGACCAGAGGTGTCCCCTTGGCCTCTGGCGTCAGCCGGGCACCTGACACTGTCAGGCGCGGATAGTGGTGGAGTGAATGCACGAATGAGCGAGTGCAGCGTTTGGTAGCAGTAATGACTCTGTGCAGGCCCCGAGGTCAGGTGACAGTGCTCAGGGCGCTCAGCCGAGGCAGCCGGGCTGCTGCTTTCCCCCGGGAGGCTATGCTGTGGGGGCGGTGGGTCCCACGGCCCAGTCGGGACGGCCCGCCTCGCCCCTGGCAGGGAAGTCTGTCCAGCTGAGCACGCCTTGAGCCCCGGGCTGTGGGGACTGGAGCCTGAAGCGCAGGCTGAGCCCTCCTGGGGGGCGTGGGGGGAGCGGGAGCTGGGCTTGGAGGGCAGGTGGCTGGCTCAGGGGCAGGGGGAGCCCCTGGGGCCGGCTTACCCGCCAGTCCGCGCAGTTCCCTGGAGCCCCGCCCCTGTGGTTTGCAGAGCGGGGTCCTGTGCAAGGCTGTCCAGCCAACCCTGGCCTTGAGGGTCCCCGGTTACTCTAAACCCACCCCCTCACCAGTTTTGTTTGCACAGATAGATGAGACACGTGAGATGTTTGAGGTATATGATATTTTAAATGATTTTTTTTTAAGAAAAATCTTACGAGGTTTTAATTTTTAAAAAGTCATGTTTCTTTTTAAAATTAATTAATTAATTTATTTATTTATTTTTGGCTGTGTTAGGTCTTCGTTTCTCTGCGAGGGCTTTCTCTAGTTGCAGCAAGCGGGGGCCACGCTTCATCGCGGTGCGTGGGCCTCTCACTATCGCGGCCTCTCTTGTTGCGGAGCACAAGCTCCAGACACGCAGGCTCAGTAGTTGTGGCTCACGGGCCTAGTTGCTACGCTGCGTGTGGGATCTCCCCAGACCAGGGCTCGAGCCCGTGTCCCCTACATTGGCAGGCAGACTCTCAACCACTGCGCCACCAGGGAAGCCCTAAAAAGTCATGTTTCGTTATGTTCCAATGCACTGTTTTCCGGCAATTTCTGGCCCCCTTAAGAATTACAGTACAGACCTACGTGTGTAAAGGTTTTAATCGTTGGCAGGATTTTTTCCTATCTCCGGGTCTGGTTGCCTCGGGAGAGGGAGGGGCGGAGGACAAGGGGGATTTGATCTGTACTGTTCTGATTTTTTTTCCTTACATGCCGGAGAACAATATTGTCACGTTACTTGCATAATGACAGCATACCTGTCAAAACATTGACAGTTCATCCTGGAGGGTGAGACTGCGGGAGATTGTTTTACCTCTATTTTACTGTTCTTCTTAGTTTCTTTCTCTCCCTCCCTGTCTCATCACTCGTCACCTGGGAATGCTTTGCTTAGGTGCTGAGGTGGAACCCAGGCGAGCCCCCGCTGCGACCGGGCCATCTCCATCTCCATCTCCTGGCATTCATGTCCCTGGCCCCAAGCGGGGCCTCAGTGTCCATGTTTGAGTGGGCGATGGCAGGAGGAGGGCACAGCAGAGTGCCTGCCCTGCTGGGAGACCAGGGGCCCCCTGGCCCAGCGCCTTGCTGAGCCGCACTGCTGTGCTGCCCTGATTCGGTTGAACCTGTGTGGCCCGTGGCCGGTGCTGGCTGCGCTGCCGTAGCTGGTCTCATGCCCCTTCCCCAGCGCTCTTCCACGCTGGCTCCACAGGGTCACCTTTCTCCTGCTCCGCTGCTTCTCTTCCTCTTGACCCCTTTGACATGGAACGGAGCCTGGGGTTTCCCACGCTGGGGGAGCTGGCCTCCTAGCGCTGACAGCGGTTTTCCCTTTCTTTTCAGTGTGCAAGGAGCCCCCCTACAAAGTGGAGGAGTCGGGTTACGCAGGCTTCATCATGCCCATCGAGGTGTACTTCAAGAACAAGGTAGGAGCCCGGGTAGCGGTAAGGAGGATGCACAGCTCACACAAGGGCCAGTGGGACCGGCAGCGCCGGGTGACAGGGTGGATGTTGGCATGTGTAGCAGAGACTGCATGTTGGGCGCCCGCGGGCGGAGAGTCGTGCGCATCCCTCCC